CCAAAGTCGGATGCTTAACCGACTGAGCCCCCCAGGCGCCCCTTAATGTTTATTTTTGAAAGAGCATGTGTGGTGGGTGGGGGGGAGGAACAGAGAGAGAGGGAGACACGGAATCCCAAGCAGGCCCCAGGCTGTGAGCTGTCGGCACAGAGCCTGATGCGGGGCTTAAACTCATGAACAGTGAGATTGTGCCTGAAGCAAAAGTCAGATGCTTAACGTATGGAGCCCCCAGGTGCCCCTGAGGACACTCTTCGTATTTGCTTCCCAGTCAGAGTCATGTCGGGGAGCATCCTGTCTTTACAGGCTCCTTTCTTGTTGAGCCACTCCTCAGCCGTTCACGAAAGTGTTTTCTTCCCACCTTTCCTGCCGTGGACGCTTCTGAAGAGCCCAGGCGGGCGGGTTTGCTGCCGCCTGGGAGAGCCCTGCCAGGGGCTCGGGGACCGGGTTTCCGACCCGTCCCCCGTGAGGCGGTGAGGCGCTGTGGCAGTGGTCCTGTAGCAACCGTCTCGGGGATGGGGGGCGGGGGCTCGGCCTGGCCGCCAGAGGCCCCCGAGGGCAGCTTTCTCTTAGGGGTGCCACGGACTCGAGTCTCCTGAACAGGGGCTGGCAGGTCCCTCGGCGCCGTCCTCTGTCGCCCTTCGTTCTGGTTTCCTTCCTGGGGCCTTGGGCGGCAGGTCCCTCCACGTGGACCCCACGTTTAAGGGCAGATGCCCGCCATGTTTCCCGGGCAGGGGAGGGTCCTGGGTCTCTGGAATTGGGCAGACGAATCTGCTCACCCACGCCGTCCGCTGGGCCGGCCTCCCGTATAGGCGGCCGGGGACCCCCGCGGAGCTCTGGCGGCCGTGGGACGGGCGGGGCAGTGACCAAGGCCAGGAGTCTGGTGGCGCTTGTTTTCTTCCGGTTGCCAAAGAGGGAGTCGGTGTTCAGTTACGGCAACACCGCCTCTCTCTCTCTATCCCCCTCCCCGAGTCCCAGCTGCTCTCCCAGCTCACAGGCCCCCAAGAGGCGCCTTGGGGCTGCTGCTGCTCACGCCGCACCGTGAGGGGAAGCTCCTGTGGACAGGCTTCCGACCCCATCGTTCCTTGTGTTTGTCCCTCATAAGGCAGCTTTCCCTCCCCCACTTGCTAGATTTATCAGCAGTCGTCAGTGTGGACGGGGCCCGTCATTCAGTGGGTTGGGGTCTGCTGCTGTCTCTACTAACTCGATGCTCAAGATGGTCTCAGTGCAACCGTGAGAGCTCCTCCAGGTGGAGGTGTCCCTGTGTTTTCTCGAGCAGCTTCTTTGGGACTCGTGCCCCAGGCCGTTTTGTCCTTGCCCTGCCTGATGTCTAGAAACAGCTGTGGGTGCCGGTGTGCTCACTGCTCCCAGGCCCTGTGGCAGAGTAGAAATGGGCGTCTGCACGCCTGTGTTTACACGCCGAGCCTGGAAGCTGTGACCTCCCAAGCTGTGCCCTGCCCGGCTCCGTCCACCCTGCTCCAGAGCGTCCCTTCCCACCTGTACTGAGGTGAGGGCCCCAGCCTGGCCTTCAAGGAGGTGTGGGCAGGTCAGAGCCAGGGGTGTGAGGCCTTGGCCCCTGGAGATGTTCAGTGTGAGCTGCAGGGGTCTGGGGTGGGGAGCTGGGGGGGGGAGGCTGTTGCAGAAGTGCGGCCACCAGGATGGCGAGGGCCGCAGGGGTCATCTGTCCTCCGCAGGTGCTGCTGTCCAGGGAAGGATGAGGGAAGAGACTGCAGCCCCCAGAAGCCCTCTGTCCAGGGTTGAGCCGAGTGGCGCTGCTCCTCCCTAGGAGCCTGGTGGGAAGGGCCGGAGCGCCACATCTTCCAGGAGGGGCTGAGGGTGGGGAGGCCGGGCGTGACCCCTGCAGGGTGTGTCCCCTGTAGGCTCCCGTCCCCGCCTGTGGGAGGGAAGCCTGGAAGCCTGGCAGCTTGTCGGGCCCTCAGCAGCCCTGGTCTTGTTCCTGCAGGAGGGCTCCCGGAGGACTTTTTGAACTCACTGGAAAAGGCTGGGGATGACAAGTTGAAAGTCACCCTCAAGTACCCACATTACTTTCCCCTCCTGAAGAAGTGCCATGTGCCGGAGACCAGAAGGAAGGTGGAGGAGGCCTTCAACTGTCGGTGCAAGCAGGTGCGGAGGCAGCGCCCGGGAGTCGCCAGGCCTATGCTCTGGGCCAGGCTCGGTGGTTGGCAGGCCGTCTGTGTCCACTGCTCCCAGGCCTTACGTTTGCTTGTCCCTGTGTCTGGTGGTGCTCCCCGGGCTCGAGCTCCCTTGTTCTGTTTTGTGTGGTGGCCTGGGCCCTCGAGCTGCAGCCCTGGGCGTCTTCACCGCTCAGACACCTGTTCCCACATGGACACTTGTGTTTGTTGTCCCCGCCCCAGCGTGGCCTCGGCCTCATTCCTCCTGCTCAGTGTCTGCAGCAGGTGATGGAGGGGCCCTTCGGCCTCCGTGAGGACACCACGGTGCTTGCGTGGCTGGGGGACGGGAGCCACCGGCTGGAGGCTGAGCCCCTTACAGGGTGACAGGGAAGTGTGTGCTCAGGTCCCGTGTTCCCTGCTTCCCGGACTGAAGACCGACCACGCTGGCCTTAAGGAAACGATGTTTTCGGGTCGCCTCCCTCAGATCGAGATGTGGCCCTAGAGAAGCCCGCTCACACGGGCGGGGGCTGCAGGAACGGGGGTGGTGGCTCGTGGAGGAGCCGGGGATTCTGGTTCTGGTGGGGACGTGCCACTTCTGGGGTGTCAGCAGCAACTTTATACTGTTGAGAGCAGAGCCCTCAGGTCTGTGATCAGGACTGGTGGGGTCGACATCACCTCGTCCTCGTGGCCCGTCCCACCCCCAGCCTCGACCCCTGAGCCCCCTGGTCAGGAAGGTTTCCACTCAACTTCCTGCTTGTGGACCTGATTGGTGGGAGCATTCTGTTTTTTGTTTTTGTTTTTTTTTTTAATATTTGGCGGAGGGGCAGAGAGAGGGAGGCAGAGAATCCCAAGCAGGCTCCGCGCCATCAGCGCAGAGCCCAACGTGAGGCTTGAACTCATGAACTGTGAGATCATGACCTGAGCCCAAGTCCTGGGTCGGACGCTCACCCAGCAGCCACCAGGCACCCCGTGAGCGCTGCGTTCTGCACAACCCTCTCTTTCCCTTGGAAACGAGTCCCATGCGTTTCACTTTGTGTTGGTCCCGTGAGTTTGCTTGGCTGGGTCAGCCCCTCGGAGGTGCCTGGGGCCAGGCCTGGACCGGTGGGCAGCTCCCCGTGCACACCCCCCGAGGCTCTCCTGCAGTCCCGGCCCCATGTTGCTCCCCACTCACGGCCTCAGAACCCCTCACAGTTTACGCTCTCGCTGGGTCCAGATGAGACTTGAGGGTTCATAGAGACTCAGGCGTTATGGCAGGGTCACGTGGCGGGCACCGAAATCTAGGCCAGGGAAAGGAGGGAGGAACGAGCCAGCTGGGTCCCGGCGGCCCACAGAGCTGCTTGCTGGTCGGTTCTAGGAGAACTGTGCGATCCTCAGAGAGCTGGTGACCCTGCGGGCCCAGAAGTCCAGTCTGCTGGGGTTCAGCACGCACGCCGACTACGTCCTGGAGATGAACATGGCTAAGAGCAGCCAGGTGGTGGCCACGTTCCTAGGTAAGCCTTGCCTCCCCTCAGCCTCCTGCCATGGGTCCCAGGAGCGGCGTTTGGGTGGTTCTTGACTGCGACGTGCAAGCGCCTCGGAGAGCCGTGTCCTGTCCACCCCAGAGGGAATCCCGACACCTCCCTAACCCTGTTCAGCCTCGAGGGGCCCCAGCCCAGCAGCCAAGCATGGGGCTCTGGGGTGAGGCTGAGTCCGCCTGGCCCTGTGGCTTCCTGGCATGAGCTCTGGGCCAGCGTCCCCACTGTGGCCATCCTTTCCCGCTCGTGGACGGGGCAGAGCCCCCCTGGCTGCTGAGGGCGATGTATCACCCGTGTTTGAGTTGTGCTGGCGGCCCGGGCCTTCCTCCCGGGTGGGGCGCCGGGGCCATCGTGCCGCGGCCTGGGGCCTGTGGGGGCGGCCGCCGCAGGAGGTATAGCCTTGCCTTCCCC